TGCTATAAAAGAATAAAACTGTCACCAAGAATCCTATGTCCAGCAAACCTGTTTTTCAAAAGGGAGAAATTAAGATACTCTCAGTTAAAAAAAGTAGAGGGAGTTCATGACCCCACCAGAACTGGTCTGTAAGAAATGCTCCAAGGGGTACCCCAGGTGGCTCAGTGGTTTAGTGCCGCCTTCAGCCCAGGGTGTGATCCTGGAGATCCAGGATCGAGTCCCGCATTGGGCTCCTTGCATGGAGCCTGCTTCTCCCTCTGCCTGTGTCTCTGCCTCTCTCTCTCTCTCTCTCTCTCTCTCTCTCTCTATATATATATATATATATATATATATATATATATATATATCTCATGAATAAATAAATAAAATCTTTAAAAAAAAAAAAAGAAAAAGAAATGCTCCAAGGAGTCAGGTGAAATGAATATCCGGATAGGAGACAGTAACTCAATATATGGACAATTTCAAAAGCTAGTATTATTGTAACAGTTGTTTGTAACTATACTTTTTTGTTTCTATACAATTGTACATTGTAAAATAATTTCTTTATTGTATTCTATACAATAAAGAAAATACCTTTAAAGAAAAAAAAACAGTAGTATAAAAGCTTGTAAGCTTTATTACTGTAAGGTTAGTTTGTAACTCCAAATCTTGTTTTCTGTATAATTTGGGAGATTAACACATTTAAAATAAATATTTATTATTATTGTTATTATTTTGGTTATACAATGTATAAAGATGTACTTTTGTTACATTAGAGACTGAAGAGAATGGGGACAGAGCTGTGAAGAAGAATTTTTATATGTTACTGAAGTTGAACTGATATAAATTCAAATTCGACTGTTATAAACTTAGAGGATTTTAAATGTAATCCCCATGGTAATTACAGAGAAAATAGCTATAGAATATGCACCAAGGATATGAGAAAGGAATTTAAACATTTCACTACAAAAAAAAATGAACTAAACAAAGAATATAGTATTGTAGGAAATGATGGCAAAAAAAGTAGAGGACATATAGAAAACAAATAGCACAGTGTTAGAAATAAGTCCCTCTTTATCACTAATTACTTAAAATGTAAATAGATTAACTTTCTAGTCAAAAAACAGATTGCTAGAATGGATAAAAATACATGATCCAAGTATATGCTGTCTATAGTAGACTAATATGTGATTCAAGGACATAAACAGGTTGAGAGTGAAAGGACTGAAAAAGATATTCCATACAAACACTAACCAATAGAGAGTAGGGGTGGCTATACCAATATCAGAAAAAATAAACTTTTATTAAGAAAGATTACAAGAGACAAAGAATGGCATTATATAGTAATAAAAGTTTCAAACAACAAGAAGATATAACATAAAGATTTTTGTACCTAATTACATACTGTCAAAACATGAAGCAAAGACTTACAAGACTAAAGGAAGCAATAGTTATAATAAGAGTTGGAGACTTCAGTAGCTTACTCAGAATAATGGATAGAACAACTAGATAGAAGATAAAGAAATAAAGGACTTAATGCAGTAGGACGACTAAGAGATTCTTTATTCCAAATAACAGACTGTACACATTCATCTCAAGGTCATATGGGATATTTTCCAGGATGGATCATATGTTAGGCTACAAATTCTCATTGATTCAGGTATACATCATTGAGTGTGTCTTCTCAGATCACAGTGGGATGAAGTTAGAAATAAATAACAAAACTGGAAAACTCAGAAAATTCTGGAAATTAAACAGTACATTAAAAAAAATTTTATCTTTTTAAGTATAATCTCTACACCTAACATGGGGCTCAAACCTACAACCCCAAGATCAGGAGTCTCATGCTTTTCTGACTGAGCCAGCCAGGTACCCCAAAACAGTACACTTTTAAATAACCAATGGATTGAGGAAAAAAAATCACAAGGAATTTAATAAAAACTAGACAAAAACAAAACAACAAAACAACATACAGAAAGTTATGGGATGCAGTGAAAGCAGTGCTGAGTATGAAATTTATAGCTATAAATGCTTACATTAAAAAACAAGAAAGATTTCATATAGACAGCCTAACTTACAAATTAGTGAATTAGAAAAAGAAGGAAATAGTAAAGATTAGAGCAGAGATAAATAAGAAATAGAGAATGGAAAAACAATTAGAGGAGAATCGTTAAGATCAAAATTTGTTTTTTTAAAAGGTCAACAAAATTGCCAAAGCTTTAGCCAGCTGAACTAAGAAAAAAGAAGACTCAAATTACTGAAATCAGAAATGAAAGTATAGAGATTACTAATGATTCTATAGAAATAAAAGGTTTATAAGAAAGTACCATGAAAGTTGCATGCCAGACATTGGATAACCTAGAAATTAACAAATTCCTAGAATCAAAACCTTACCAACCCTAAATCATGAAGAAATAGAAAATTTGAATAGACCTATAACTAGTAATGAGATTGAATCAGTTATCAAAATCTAAGAATAAAGTCTGAAAGCATTCCTGGTGGATTCTACTAAGTATGTAAAGATGAATTAATATTAATTCTCAAACTTTCCCAAAAGATTGAAGAGGAGGGTATACTTCCTAAGCTGTTCTTTAAAGTCAGCATAACCCTGATACAAAGACAGACACTCAAGCAAACTATAGACCAGTATCCCTTAAAAACTTTGATGCAGAAATCCCCAACAAAATACTAGCAAACAATTCAGTAGCATTTTAAAAGGATATGCTCCATGCCAAAGGGAGATTTATTCCTGGAATGCAAGAATGGTTCAGCATATAAAACTTGATCAATATAATATGCCACATCTAACAAAAGGAAGGGAAAAAGAAGCTTCACATGATCGTTTCAATTGATGTAGGAAAAAAATTGAGAACATTTAACACTTTTTCATCATTAAAACTCAACAACATAGGAATGGAAGGAAAGTACATCAACGTAATATGAAAAACCTACAGCAAACATCACACTCAGTGGTAAAATACTGAAAACTTTTTCTGTATGTCAGGGGCAAGAAGACAAGGATGCCCACTTGCACTTCTATTCAACATGGTACTGGAAGTTTGTAGTTAGAGCAAGAAAAAGAAGTGATAGGTATCCAAATTGGAAAGGTAGCAGTAAAATTATCTTTGTTTGCAGATGATATGATCTTATAGGTAGGAAAGCCTAAAGACTCCAAAAAAAGCTGTTTAATAAATTAATTCAGCAAAGTATCAGGTGTCAGCACTCAAAAATTCATTTTTATATATGAACAATGAACAATCTGAAAAGGAAATTATAAAAGCAATTTCATTTATGATAGCCTAGGCAAGAATAAAAGATTTAGGAATTAAGTAGGTGAAAGACTTATATAGTGATAACTAAAAATTCATTGCTGAAATAAAACATAAAGAAATAGACATCCTGAGTTTATTGACTGGAAACTTAGTATTTTAAAAATGTTACTAGTACCCAAAGTGATCTATAGATTCCACGCAATCCCTAGCAAAATCCTGGTGACTTTTTTTTTTTTTTTGGTAGAAATAGAGAAACCAAACCTAAAATTCATATGCAATCTTAAAGGACCTGAATAGCCAAAATAATCTTGAAAAAGAAACTGGAGGACTCACACTTTAGATTTCAAAACTTACTACACAGCTACGGTAATCAAAACTGTGGCATTGGCATGAAAGATGTATAGACCAATGGAATAGAATAGAGTGCCCAGAAATGAACCCTCACATATATGATCAAATAATTTTTTGTAAGGATGGAAAGTGGGTAAAAGATAGTCTTTTCAACAAATGGTGCTGGAAAACTGGATATTCACAAAAGGAATGAAATTGGACCCTTACATAATACTGTAAACAAAAATTAACTCAAAATGGGTCAAGAACCTTAAGTGTAAGACCTCAAACAATAAGACTTTTGGGAAAAAAAATGTAGGACCAAAGCTTTACACATTGGGTTTGGTCATGATTTCTTGGATATGACACCAGAGGCACCGGTAACAAAAGAAAAAAATAGGCAAATTGGACTCTATGAAAATTAAAAAAATAATTTTTGCATCAAAAGACACCATCCACAGTAAAAAGATAACCCACAGACTGGGAGAAAATATTTGCAAATCATATATCTGATAAGGAATTAATATCCAGAATACAGAGAACTTTTAAAACTTAACAACACAAAAGATCTGATTGCAAAATGGACAGAAGACTTGAGTAGACATTTCTTCAAAGAAGATATATGAATGCCACTAAGCACCTAAAAGATGCTCAACATCATTGATCATTAGATAATGCAAATAAAAACTGTAATGAGATACTACTTCATACTCATTAGGATGCCTACTATCAAAATGACAGAAATTAACAAATGTTGGTGAAAATGTGAAGAAATTGGAACTCTTGTACATTGTTCATGGAAATATAAAATAGTAAGCCACTGTGAAAATGATACGGTAGTTTCTCTCTCTCTCTCTCTCTCTCTCTCTCTCTCTCTCTCTCACACACACACACACACACACACACACACAGACAAATTCAATTACCATACAATCCAGCAGCTCCCCTTCTGAATATATTTCTCAAAGAATTGAAATCAGGGCCTTAAAAAGATATTTGTATACCCGTAGCAGCATTATTCACAGTAGCTAACATGTGAAAGCAACCCGTGTCCATGGACCAATGAATGGATAAGCAAAATATGGTATGTACATATGAGATATTGTTCATTCTTAAAAAGGAAGAAAATTCTACAGTATGCTATAATACTGGATGAACCTTGAGGATATCATGCTAAATGAGTAAGCTAGTCACAACAAGACAAATACTGTATGATTTCCACTTGATGAGGTACTTAGAGTAGTTAGAATCATAAAGACAGAATCTATAATGGGCTTCACCCAGGACAGGAGTGAGAGGAGAATGGGGCATTATAGTTTAATAGAAAATATTTTTAAAACAGTGATATAAAGATAAATTTAAAAAATGTTCTCAAAAAAATTCTCATAACTAATTTTAAAAAATTAATTCTGGTTTTAGGCTTGTGTTGATGTCAGAGCCAGTTCTGTGTTTTGGCAGCAGATGGAATTTGCAGATAGCCTTCAAGGCTATCCCAAGTTGCCAGAATGGTTATCCACACATCCTTCTCATGGAAATCGAGCTGAGCGCTTGGATAGACTCATACCTCAGGTGAGCTAACCCTGTATAAGGCAAGACCTTGTTTTTACTATATCATTTATTTTTAATGCAGTTGCTTCTTGTACTTAGAAAAATTGAGTTCTACTCTAGCCTGTCAAATATTTTGATCACTATAATTATGGATTATCACTTTTCAAAGGATTTGACTGATGAGTAAAAATCCTGCTTGTCCACAAGTATTGGAGAATAAATTGCAGTTCAGTTGACTTCTTGGTGGTGAAGATTTAATCTTTTTAGAATCATACCTTTCAATTTTAAACTGATTTGGGGAAACTCTATAACTCAACATATTGATCATAATTTAGTCTTTTCTTGGTGATTTAAGCTTTGTTAAAAAGCTTGTTAAAAATACCAGTTAAAGAATTGTGCAGAATTTTGGGATCAATTAATTATTAATTATGATAGTGATGCTAGAATTTGTTTTCTTAGAAAAAAATCTCTTTGTATTCATTTGCTCTTTGGTTATTTATTTGTTTGAGAAGATACACTAAAGCATGTGCTATTTGGCACTCTTTCTTTTTTGGTAGAACTCCTGAATGGATCAAGTTGAAGCAGCTTTCTCTGAATTAGTTGTTACTATCTTCTGAAAATCTTTTTGACTTAGCATCATTCAAAATGTTTTATGTAGTTATCACATCAGTACAAAATGGATGTCAGATATCTCTAAGCCGACTACATCTCTCTTCCATTTCACTTGAATTAAATTTGCTGGTTGGTTTTAAAAGCAGAATATTCTTTAGGATTTTAAGAATTGGTATTGGTCTGTTTGCTAAGGGATAAAAACAGATGCAGGTGTATTATAAAAGTATCTTTCAGTATGACTTCAAGTTCAGCTTAAGAAATATTGGGTACCTACCATTAGAAAGAAATGATGCTAGTAGGTACAGGGGACACAAAGAGGAATAAGACATGGTTCTCGATATTTTCATGCTAAGATAAGTACAAATTGATTCTTAATATAACAGGGAATGTGACATCATAAGAAAAGTAGAAATGTAGTGGAATGCAGTTTTTTGGAATGAGAAACAGTCACAAGATTCATTCATTCATATGATCAGTATTTGTTAATACTTCTAATCTGCTACTTTGTGTTCTATTGCCAGAGAATGAGCAAGGACAAAACAAAACAGTCTTTGCTTTCTTGGAGCTAACATTTTAATTAGATAATTCAAATAATAAACAAGCAAACATACTTGAAGTATATCAAGTAGTGATAAGCATGAAGGAGAAATATAAAGCAGGCAAAAGGTAATAGGGGCTGGGCAGCAGAGAAGGTTTACTAGTCTGTGTTCATGTGTCAAGGATGACCTCACTGAATAGAATCTGGAAAAGCCAGGGAGCAAATCCTGTAAATATATGGAGGGAGTCTTTTAGGCTGAGGAAGTAACAAGTGCACAGGACCTAAAATGAGAGTATGTTTGGTGTGTCCAGAGAATAGCCAGGAAGACATGGAGGCTGAATGGAGTAAAGGCGGTGAGGAGAGTGGCTGAGATGTAGGGGCACCAGACCATTAAGGGTCTTCTAAACCATTGTAAAGACTTAACTTTTGTTTCAAGTGGTGAGGAAGGCTAGTAGAGGGTTTTCAACAGAGGAGTATTCGAATTCAACCTGACTCTTGTGTTTTTTAGTGACCACTGGGGCTCCTGTGTGGAGAGTGGACTATAGTGCGTCAAGGGTGCAATCAGGGAGACTATTTAAGGAGGCTCTTGCAATAATCCTAGTAAGACATTATGGAGGCAGAAGAGAGCGAAAGAAGTGGTCATATTTTGAATATATTTTGAAAGGAATGATGACAACTTCTCTACAGTTTGGGCATACTTTGTACCTTTCATGAGCATTGAGGATAGCCAGACATGGGCTCTTAAGACCTTTCCTAAATATATTTCGATTTATACTCCTTATTTGGAGAAAAAATATTTGAGAAAGAAATAGCAGTGAAATTTACCTGATATAATATATAGTAATCATTCATCTTAAAGGGCAACATAGGACTGGGATCATATGTATTTCATTAGTAATGATGTGTACTGAAGCTCACTGGCTCTAAGAGTCAGTCTTCTTAGTGCTACCTAAGACCCAGAGACCTTGTACTACTCTGGGAACTTTAGCCTATCTCTAAAGTCATAATAACCACATGGTTTTCTTTTAGAATTTCCTTTCTTTGCATTTTTGCTCAGTGAATTTCTAAAAATATATGATTTACTTAATTGAATAATGAATTCTAGCCAACTTTCTTCATCTGAAGCCTGTCCTAAATTCTGTAAAAAATGTGGTTTAGAGAAATCTTCAAAATAATAATGAATTGATTAGTAAGGACGAGGAAAAGTGGTTAGAGAAACAAATATGTTATTTGGGAACCAATGATGAAAAACACTGGGAGATTTTTTTCTTCTAAAAATAAACTATCCTAGTTCGGAAACTTAATTTGAAAACCTCATATAATTTCTTATATTTTCCCCCCAAGTGATTAAATTCAATTTGAAAGTAATAAAACTCTACTACAATATTGGGAATAATTCAGTGGTTGAAGTGAAGCTGATAGTGCAAGAGTATATTGTTAATTAGAATACATAGTCATAATTCAGAGGTTGGAATTCCCTATCATCGACAGTCTAATTTCTGTAATGAGAGAAAGTGATTTCTCAGGCAGTATATAGAATTATGTGAGTCTATAGACTACTACTAAAGACTTACTTTTTTGTTGTTGTAGCTAACTTTTATTTAAGGTTTCTTTTTTTTTTTGTCATCGTTGTTGTTTTTACTTATGTAAGTACAGTGTTATATTCTGCCTAAAGTTCCTGTCCTTTATGTTGCTGACCATATGCCTGAAGTGTTGACATCTCAAAGGTAATTAGGAATACAGCACAGAGAAATCTAGGTGAGAGACGAGGATTTCAGAGTCACCTGAAAAAGGTGATAGTTGAAGCAGAGTAGATGAGTTCACTTAGGAAGTAAACAGAGAAAAAATCCTGGACAGAGTTAGCAGTATAAGTAGTTTGCATATTTAACTGGTAGGAAGAAGATTGAGCCTGTAGTAAATCAGATTTATAGAAGGAGAAAAGATCAAGAAAATCAGGAATGTAAGATTCTTTAGTTCTATGAGAACAGAGATGATTTTGATTTTTTAAAAAGTTTAATTTATTAAAGATTGTGCATTTTCTACTTTTTATTGGATTCCTTGAATGTCATCAAAGAAATGTATTCTTTCCTGCCATACTATATCAACATTTAAGATATTTTAAATCTATACTTTGTGCATTCAACAAATATTTATTGGTTATGTGTTATGCCAGACCATAGTTGTTACAGGTATTGTGAAGAAAAAACACAAAAAAACCCCGCCCTTGTGAAGCTTATGTAGTAAAGGGAGACAGACAATAAATAGCATTAATTAGTAATGTATAGAATGAATCACTGATATATTGTGTACTAGTTAGTAATGAATGTTAATAAGGAAAATAATGTAAGAACGATGTATTTAGTCAACTTAGGCTGCCATAACAAAATACCAGAGACTGGGTGGCTTAAGCAACAGAAATTTATTTCTTTATACTTCTTAAGGGTAGAAGTCCAAGATCAGGTTCTGTCTTAAGCAATAGCAATTAATTTTTTCACAATTCTGAAGGTTGGAAGTCCAATAATTTTCCAGCAGATTCAGTTTCTGGTGAGATCTTTCTGGCTTGCAGATGGTTGCCTTCTAGAACATTGTGCCCTCACCTGATGGAGAGAGTGAGTGTTTTGGTGTCTCTTCCTTTTCTTATAAGGGCATGCTAATCCCTTCATGAGGGCTCCACCCTCATGACTTCATCTAAACCTAATTACCTCCCAAAGCCCTATCTCCAAATACTGTCATGACATTGGAGGTTAAGGCTTCAACATAAGAATTTGGGGCAAGGGGGAACCATTCAGTCCCTAATGGATAGGTAAATTGTGAGCAGAGGTGGTCGAGGTCCTGGAATAGCTGTTTGAAATGGGGTTCATCAGAGAAGGTTTCACTGAGAAGATGGTATTTGAAGGAAAAAATGTAATAAAGAATGAGCCCTGTGGCTTCCTAGGAGAACACCCTTCGAGGCAGAAGAAATAGTACCAGGCCTTGAGGTAGGAGTGAGCCTGGTGTATTTGAGGGACAGGGACAGCAAGGAGACCAATGTAGTTGGATGCGGTAAACAAGGGAAAGTGGAGAGTATAGGTTTTGTAGCCAATGTAAGGACTTTGGCTTTTGCTCACAGATGGGACACCAGTGTAAAGTTTTGAGAAGAACACTAAAGGAGTAATGGGATTGACTTAATGCTTGGAAAGAATGTAATCTCTAGCTCCTACAAAACACTAAAATCATATAATTTTTCTTTTTTATTATAGTGAGAGAGAGAGAGAGAGAGAGAGAGAGAGAGAGAGAGAGAGGCGCAGAGACACAGGCAGAGGGAGAAGCAGGCTCCATGCACCGGGAGCCCGATGCGGGATTCGATCCCGGGTCTCCAGGATCATGTCCTGGGCCAAAGGCAGGCGCCAAACCGCTGCACCACCCAGGGATCCCTAAAATCATATAATTTTGAAGTGCTTTAATATAGTATGTTTTTCAGAAAATAGACTAGTTCCTCATTTTGTTTTGCTTTGAAAATCGAGAAAATACCCCCAAGTTAGAAAGAAGTATACCCTTGCTATTTTTTTGATGTGTATTCTGAGATAAAGCATTTGTAAATTCCTAGTTAAATATAATCCTGTGATCCACTAACATTTAAAAATGATAAATATAGGGTTATAGTATTAATAATATTTGTGGTTAATAAGATGATATGCTGTAATTTTATTTACTTGAAATAATCAGTTAAATTTAGGAAACAAATATACCACGCATTTTGGTTACCATAACAACTTAGGTGAAAAATTGAAGAACAGATGTTATATCAACCTGTTGATGTTTAATGGTATGACAGTTTTAAAATTACACTTAACACTGTTCAGATTTTAAATTTATGTATAACATAAGTTGT